CTGCCGGGCGGGGGCCAGGAGCTAAGAGGGCCCGGGCCCTGGGCGGTGCCGCGGACTGCCAGGAGTGGAGCTGTCCGTGGTGTCGCCTCGGCCGTTCCGAGGGCCACGAGGCTGCGAAGCCTGCCTTCCAGCCTCACCAAGGATCAAGGGGTGAGGGCCCTGCGGGATGCCCCAGCTCCCCCGTTCCTCCCTGGGCAGAAGGAATGGCCAGCCGTTCACCAGGGGCCGCTGCGACAACTCAGCCGAGCCAAGCCTCAGGGACGCCAGGGTGAAGGATCTGGCCCCTGACCGCCCAGGGAGACAGAAGAGGTGCCTGCAGCCACCTCAGCAGACGGTCACACAGCTGGCTGTGGGGACACTGAGGGGATGGTGCAGACGTTGAGCAAGGGAGGCGAGGGGGCGGTGGCCGCGCCGTGTGTGGTCTCGGGGCAGCCACCCGGACGCCCTCGCCTGTCTTCAGGCCGGCCATAGCCCTGCAGGCCTTTGGTCCCCGGTGGCTGCTCTGTGTCCCCGGGGCCCAGAGGTCCTGCAGGGGTCCTGATCACACCTGACTGGCCTCTGCTCCCGCCCAAGGCAGTTGCGACCCCGCGGGGCCATCCCCAAGGGCACGGTGGTTCCGATGATCGCGGGCCGGGCTGTCTCCTGCAGCGGGAGTGAGCGGTCAGCTCTGATGGAACAGGACACCCACTTCCCAATAGCGCGGCCATCGCAGATGTCAGGAGGGTCCCAGGCGGGTGGGGAGCCTCAGACCCACCTCCGAGCAGTCGGGGACGTGGCAGTGCCGTGCACGGTGGGGCCTGAGCGGCAGTCCAGGGACCTGGGATCTGGTCCTGCCCCGTGTTCCCTGCCCTGGGCCCAGTGTCTCCTCACAAATGAGGTTGTTCTGTGATTTCGTAATCGGGAAAAGGAGGGCTCAAGTGGCCAGAAAGAAAGCAGAGCTGCAGGAAGCGCCAGGCCTTTCGAGTGCGCCCTGGGGGCGAATCCGAGGGTCTTCAGAAAGTTCGCGGAAGTGTGTGTGCTGAGAAAGCTGTCCATGGATTTCAAAAAACCTCCACCAAAATAAACTCGCGCTTCCGGTTCATTTTCCCAGACTTTTTGAAGTACCCTCGCACCGTGTGGGTCGTCAGGGAAATTGGGGATACAAACAGAAAAACTGAGAATTGCATTTTCGTGGTGGCTGACCCTCGACGGGGAGCTGACAAACACGTTCTCGGCAGGTTCTTTTACTCCCCCTGGGATGCCGAGAGTGGGAGCCGGGTGGTGGCCGCCCCGGGCCACTGCTGAGCTCCCTGGTGACCCACCTAAAACAAAGTCCGGTTTGCAAAGCGATGTTTTTAACACTACAGGTCACACGGCTGAACACAGGCCGTGGGGGGAGTCGGCGACGTTTCAGGCAGCGGATTCCCGCGGGTGCATGTGGAGCAGACCGGGAGGGTCGTGACGAGGTCCTGTTTGGCAGCCTCGACGGCTGCTCGCTGCTGTATTTCAGAACCTGCCTGCTATACCCTGCGAGCGCGACACTCCTCGGAAAGGCTTAATTACCCCTTCCTCTCGGAAACCCTGCGGTACCCATTCATTCCCCTGCTTCACGTAATGACCGTGAGCGTCCCCTGAATTAGCTGCAGACGTCACGGGTGAGGAGCGAGCATTTCAGGGGGGCACCCGGCACCCTCCTTAGGATGGATTCCAGTGGAGGCAGTGAGGCCGTTCTTCAGGCCGGGTGATTGGCCTCGGTTCATCCTCTTACCACTCTGGGCGGACAGCCAGCCGTGCCGGACTGGGTCCCAGCCGCCCTGGCCTGCCGTTCGTCGGGGCTTGGCTGGGGGCACAGTCCTCCCTCCAGGAATTAACC